GACGTGATTTCTACTGTAATGTGATTGGAAAGGATTTTATTACACACACAGATTTATAAATGATCCACTCCTAGGTCCCACGCTGTACCCTCCCCCCAGCCACGGGTGCACCCCACCTCCTCAAACATTCTTCAGTACTAACAATGTGAAGCCGCATGGCGCTAATCTGAATATCCTAAAAATAACTTTATTGATCCATCAGAAATGAGGACACCCCACCCACACTGCCCCCCGATGCGTGATGAGCGTAAGGGGTGGGTGGAGTGTCCTCATTTCTGATGGATCAATAAAGTTGTTTTTAAACTGTTCAGTCTAGCTGCATGTGGCTTCACGTTTGTATCCACCAGACTCATCAGGAAGAGTTGATATTGAACATGGTGTTGTGATAGATCCATAGACACATCTACATATTATATATAGAATGTAGCTGGGTCTATAGAATGTCCTTCTGAAGGTCAACAGGAAGCATCATAGAAGGGAACCTCAACCCTCCATCCTCTGTAAAGTCAGGATTAAAGAGGACCCTTCACCTTACTCATCAGGAAGTGTTGATGTTGTACTTGGTGTTGTGGTAGATCCATAGACACAGCTCCGTATTGTATGTAGAATGCAGCTGGGTCTACAGAATGTCCTTCCAAAGGTCCATGGTAAGCATCATGGAAGGGAACTCTTTCCATACTTTGTAGAGCCAAAATTAAAGAGGACCTTTCACCTTACTCATATCGTACATGGTGTTGTGAGAGATCCGTAGACAAAGCTCTGTATTTTATATAGAATGCAGCTGGGTCTAGAGCATTTTCTTCTGAAGGTCAATGGGGGGCATCATAGAAGGGATCCCTCTCCACCCTTTGTAAAGCCAGGATTAAAGAGGACCTTCCACCTTACTCATTAGGCAATGTTGATATTGAACATGGCGTTGTGATGGATCCATAGACACATCTCTGTATTATATATACATTAGAATGCAGCTGTGTCTACAGAATGTCCTTCTGAAGGTCCATGACCGGCATCATAGAAGAGAACCCTCTCCATCCTTTGTAAAGTCAGGATTAAAGAGGACCTTCCACCTTTCTTTATATCCCTCGCCCTCCATTAGACATGTGCGATTCGTTTCGTTACGAATCGAAATTCGTACGAATTTCCTGAAATTCGTAAATTCGGAAGCATCCGAAATCCGAATTGCAGTTTTCGGATCCGAATTTCGATGAAACGGGAACTAATATTACCCCTGTGACTGAGGTTGAACAACATGACAAGATTTTTTTTTTTTTATCCGAAATACGAAATTCGGATCCGAAATCCGTTAACGGAATTTCGTATTTCGGATTAAAAAAAATGACTGTTTGGTTGACCAATCAGAGGTTTTCTCTTCTGCTGCTGAGGGTTGCATTACAATACAGGCAGGAAATACGAAATTCCATTAACGGATTTTCGTTCCGTTACTAACATTCGTTATGATGAAGTTAAAAAGCAAAAAATACCTTTGTTAATATTGGAGTCTATGGTAGTTTTTTTTTTAATACGAAATACGAAATTCCATTGACGTATTTCGGATCTGAATCCGAATTCCGTTACCATCGACTCCAATATTAACAAAGGTATTTTTGCTTTTTAACTTCAATATAACGAATGTTAGTAACGGAACGAAAATCAGTTAACAGAATTTCGTATTTCGTGCCTGTAATGCAACCCTCAGCAGCAGAAGAGAAAACCTCTGATTGGTCAACCAAACAGTCACGTTTCCGTTCTGATTCGGATCCAACATTCGTATTTCGGATTTTAAAAAAAACTACCATCGACTCCAATATTAACAAAGGTATTTTTGCTTTTTAACTTCATCATTACGAATGTTTGTAAAGTTACGAAAATGTGACGAAACTAACGAAAATTCGTATTTCGGACGAATCCAAATTGAGTTTCGGACACGAACTACGAACTTCGAAATAACGGATATTCCGAAACAAAACAATTTTTTTGACGGCGCACAAGTCTACCCTCCATACAAAACCGCAGTCTACTTTACACTGTGAAAAGCCGCATTTGGAAACTATCTGAGCTGTTTTCTTACCTCTGTCCACCAACCCCATAGTCAAAGCTCTGATGTGACAGGATCTGCCTTCCTTTATGCCAGCAGGTACTGAAAACAATCCTTGGGGCATACCATCTGGCAAGATGTTGGTGGGATCACAAGATTTAGCTCCTGCACAGATGATATTAGCATGCGTCATCTGTCCATCTGCTAGATTTGGA